ATAGAAAGTGATATGATTCTAACAGAAGTTATCCTTACGAGTTTCAATAGAGGAACAACTCCAGCTAAAGGGGTTATGATATTGGACATAACTATTGGGACAACTACTAGGACCACAGTCTTTTTCGTGATAGATGGTCTTACCAGTTACAATATGTTATTAGGAAGGGATTGGATACATGGAAGTCGCTGCATACCTTCATCATTCTATCAATGCTTGATTTTTTGGAATGATAAAGGTGAAGCAGAAGTAGTGCAGGCAGATCATAGACCTTTTTATCGCAGAAGCAAACACCGTAGAAAAGTTCATGTACGAGAGAAATTATGGACCTGTAAGTGTAGTCCAAGATGGAGAAGAAACTCAAATTGTTGTACAGAGCAAATAACTATTTTCAGTAGATGAGCTCACCGATATGTTCAGTCAAATGAAGCCAAACATAGTGGCCCTGGAGGAGCCAGTAATTGGCAAGAAAGTAATCAAAGAGTTTTAAATAAGCTGTAAGCAACAAAGGCAAATGGCTGATATTCAGGCCCTCAAATCCAAGTTAATAGCTTTCAATAAAGAATGCAAAGACAAGACGAAAAAAGTAGATTTGAAAGCATTGGGAGATAAATTGACAGTGTTCGAGTTGGAACAAAGTATTGGCCGAGAAGTCAATAAGGTGTACTGCTTAGAAGAGGAGGTGCATGTAAGAGACATGGATGAAGTAATGGGAATCATCAAGCCTGGCTATGCTCAAGTACAAGATCCTCTGGTCAAAGTGAATATTGGCAATGAAGGGGAAGATCGCCCAACATTCAGTCAGATGCTCAATCAGGAGGTTAGTGACAAATTAATCGCTTTATTAAAAGAATATAAATATTGTTTTGCTTGGGAATATAAACATATGCCTGGTTTAGATAGAAATTTGGTAGAACATAGATTACCAACCAAGCCAAGTTTCAAACCTCATAAACAACCCCAAAGGCATTTTGCTTGTAATGTCCTTCCCGAGATAAAGAAAGAAATATAGAGATTATTAC